ATGTACAAATATAATATTGGTCTCCTTTTAACGCAGTAAATATAACGGCGCAGTCTGAGATTTCTTAATGGCATACAAGGAAGATAACATGGCCTATATACTTTTCTCAGTAATTCTATATGTTAAGCTTATTATAAGTGTAAATTCCTTCACACAAAAATCACTATAAGATATTTATAAATTATTTCAGCGTACAAAACAATTGGTATTAACCAAGCTTAAAAACGAAGACCTCTCAATAATTTTAGGAAGTATTACAAAGTAATGTTATAGCGAGTCATGTAAAGTTTCCAATATTCTGTGCAAATTAAAAAACAGTGTGAGGTTTTTATGTTTTGTTTAATTAATAAACATGAATTTTCACAAAGTAACCGCTACTTCATAAATAGACATAATTATCCCCAGAGGGACATTATTATCGGTTTATGGCTTTATTAATGTCTGCCGCAGCTGCAAAAAAACCTAAGAAACAAACAAAGCCTGTGTTCCTTAACATGATAAATGAATTATAACAGGAATTTCCAAAATGATGATCTTGGTGAGAAATAGTTTTGAAAGATCATTAACACGTTCGCGGACAAAGCGGCATATGCCGCTCTACTTTCTGGGACAAAGCGTGATATCCCGTCTAATGTTGAGAACGGCCAAAACGCAAAGCGGCTTACCACGCACATTTTTGTACATGAAATACTATTCAAGCACCTTAGGTGTACCAGCAAATAACTGGTAATAAAATATTGTGAACTGTCCGTGTCGGTCAGTTTAGCTTTGAAATATTAGAGGCGGCGAGCATACTATATCACTTTATTTTTGTTGTTTTTTGTTGGTGTTTTGTTTATTTTGACTAGATTTGTTGGAGAATAATAAAAGTAAGTAATTGTTTTATTACGATTGTGTTATTTAGTAATTTGTATGCTGCTTATCAGTAGTAGAGACAGTAATAAAATGTTGAAGTTATATTTTCGGTAAATATACTATTTTTTGTTTTTACAGAAAATTGATTCTACAGAAGAAGCTTCTTGGACTTATGGATGAAGTGAGCACAGATGAATTTTAAAGTTCTGAATCAGAACATTATAGCTCTGATGATGATTTAAAAGATCCATCATATCAACCCAGTAGTGGTGAAGATTCGTTGGCAAACGAGAATCTGGTTTCAAAGGAAAATCACGAAGACAGAGTTGAGCCAGAAAATGACGAAACGGGTAATGATATACAAAATTTGCTAGAGGTGGGCGATATTGGAACTGATAACGAGTGGGATGATATTGCCGCAGATATTCCAGATTTTTTGTTTGACGATTCCCAAAGTGGCCTTCATCTTAATTTTGACACAGATACTCCTAAAGCTACAGACTATTTTTTTAAATTTTGGGATCAAGAAATTATGCAGCTAATTCTTGATCCAATGAACAAATACATTGAAATATTGACTAATGTAAATAGGCCCAAGCAAAAATACAGCAGACAAGCATCCATTAGGCCATTTACTATGGAAGAACTTCAATCATTTTTAGCTATATGCATATTACAGGGTCAAATAAAATACCCCTCTGTAAGGAAGTTGTTTTTTTTTTACTCTAAAGAGTAAGAGAGTAAAAACATATAAATATTTAGGAACGTGGCTAACCGAAGATGGAGATCAAGTAAAGGAGATCAGATCTAGAATAGAAATGGCAAGAAACACGTTCATAAAATTGAAGAAATTACTTTGCAACCGTAACCTTAATCTAGAGATTCGCACAAGAATGCTACGTTGTTACGTCTTCTCTACTTTACTATATGGCATGGAAGCGTGGACAATAAAGCAGTCTGAAATCAAAAAATTAAACTCCTTTGAGATGTGGTGCTACAGGAGAATGCATAAAATATCGTGGATTGAAAAAGTAACTAATACAGAGGTGTTACAAAGAATGAATAAAGAATGTGAAGTCATAAAAACTGTTAAAATTAGAAAGATTCAATATCTGGGACATTTAATGAGGGGTGAGAAGTACGTATTACTGAGGTTGATTATGCAAGGGAAGATACAAGGGAAGAGAAACCCTGGACGACGCAAAATGTCCTGGCTAAGAAATTTGAGAGAGTGGTTCGGCTGCAGCTCATTAGAATTATTCAGAAATGCGGCCAACAAAGTTAAAATAGCGATGATGATTTCCAACCTCCGCTAGGAGAAGGAACCCGAAGAAGAAGAAGGAAGTTGTTTTCAATGAATCCATTTTATTATGCACCAGTTTTTCATTACACCTTATCTGGTAGAAGATTTGAAGAAATGCTGCGGTGTTTTAGCTGTGCTTGTAAAGAGGAAACAACAGGAACTGATCCACTGAAAAAAGTCAATCGTCTGCTCGATAAACTATTACTCATTTTCAAAAAGCTTATTACCCTGCAGACGAAATGTCACTAGATGAATCATTGTAGGATTTACACTCAAGATATAGAAGGATTATCTAAAATTGAGTCGTTAGTACTGCAACTTATGGAGCCTTATTTGGAAAAAGGCCATCATTTATTCCTTGATAACTTCTACAACAGCAGTTTGCTGTCAAAATTCCTTATGGAAAGAAAAACTCATTCTACAGGAACTCTTAGACGAAACAGAAAAGGAAATCCAAAAGCTCTTGTAAACACCAATCTAAAGAAAGGAGAATACAAATGGCGAAGAGACAGTAGCATCTATATTTCAAAGTGGAAGAATAAAAAGGAAGTACTCTGCATAACAACCAAATATCACCCAAAACTTATAAATGTACAGAACAGGTTTGGAAAGACAGTAATAAAACCTGAAGAAGTTGCCAGGTACAATGAGTACATGTCAGGAATAGATAGGAGCGATCAAATGGTGAGTTATTATTCTTCTCCACGAAAAACTTCAGGTGGTACAAAAAAGTGATGTTTCACTTACTGGATGTAGCTATATGGAATTCCTACTATGCAATGAAGAAGCACAAAAATGTAAAACTGACCCTTTTGGAATACAAAGAAAATTTGGTAAGAGAATTATTGAACATTCCAGAAGATATGAATGATGGGAGAAAACTGATGCATAAGGGAGCTTTGCACGGTGGAAAACGACCTCGAATGGAAGCGAATATAGTTGTCAACCCTAACAATGAACAACACTTTCCAGATATAATTCCACACCCTACAGACCAGATAGAACGCAAGGAAACCAGATACTTGTGTAAAACGTGTGTTGATAAACCAGCACTTTGCATTGTACCGTGTCTTGAACTGTACCACAAAAATTAAATTTTTTAATATAAGCGTATCTCTATATTATATTTTCGTTATAAGGATATTTTTTTATTATTTTTTACAGAAATAAAGATTTAGTTGCATTTACTAATCGAGAACGGCATGTACCGCTTTGTCCAGTTGCACAACTTTTGTGACATATATGGACATAGCGGCATTTACCGCACCTTGATTTTTTTTTATAAAAAACAACCTAAGCATTCTAAAATGAAACTACTTTTTTATGACAGAAAAATAACAAATTTTTGAGATTTTTACAAGTGTGTTTTTTGCGACCCCCTATAAAAACTAGGTGTCCGCGAACGTGTTAAAGAGAAAATATTTGAATACAAGATACTTACATATCTGCCTAATATGCCTTTCCTTAAGAATACAAAGATACCGCTAGATATTATAGAATATATACAAAAAAAAATTGTTCAACTTAGAAAAAGCAGAATTTAATAATAACGACGTAATTGATTCAAGTTTACACGTTGCTATTGGACAAATGAGTTCACATTGCAAGGCTCCAAATTTAAGTTTATAGGTAAATCCCCTGGATTGTGTTGCATCAGTCACCAAGTCAAATTGACATATGGGTAGAAATATTTATCCAATGGCTAATATTAAGTTTAAAGGTTTAGTTTTAGTAAGTCAGGATATTAATTAATATTTCTAATGAGAGGAAAACACTGCACGGATACTCGGAGTAGCAGAATAAACAACAAAATGTAACATCGTGGTGGAGAATAACAGAATGCATTAATTATAATATTGATAATAGAATAAATAAATATAATAGAATAAATGAATATAAGAATGATCTGAAGAAATATTTGATTTATTCAAAAAGTTCAACAAAAATTAGATTATATAAGAGTGCAATATTCAATTGCAATAAAAGATTGAACCACCGATATAATTTTACCAATGTTTAAAAAGAGAGATGCAAAAAACTGCTCAAGTTATAGAGGATCACACTGACCAGGATTCCCGTTAAAAAATTGAAAATAAACTTGGAAGAATCTCAATACAGATTTAGAAAAAAAAAGTAATGCAGAGCAAACAGTAGAAACATTATTGAGTAAAGGAAAAGAGATGCATCTATGTTTCACTGATTTAAAGAAAACTTTTAACAAAGTAAGGTCGATATCTGTAAATGTTTAAAAAGAGTAGAAGCAGAAAATGATACGATACATATAATTAAAGCTTTATACAAAACAACAGCAATAAAGTAACAACAGCAATACAGTAAGGATGCACGATCAACAATCTTCATGTTCCTTATACCTAAATTACCTGCGTATACCTACAATATAACTACTTAAAACGTGTTAGTTAATACATTTTTATGAATTAATCACTTTGTTATATATATTAAAAACTTTGTGATGAGTAAGAAGAAATCCCTCAAATGTCCTCTCAAAGCACCCGACATTGGCCTATCAGAGTTGGCAGATCCTGGGTTCAGCCTTTATGCAACCCAGCCAAAAGAGGAAGTTGCCCTATAGAGACAAGGTTACTTAAGGAGTAGACGCTCGAAAAGACAGAAAGGGCTAATGGGCTAATATGATAGGGTTGATACAATGGATCCGCCTTAGGAGGTCAAATTGTCTGGAAGGCTCACAAATGGGTCTTGCCTCGATCTACCATAACCATAACATGTAAAACTTTTATGCACTTACCAGGTCGTAAATATCCGGCTGTGGTGATAGGAGTCTCGATGGGAAGGCTATTAGTTCTTGCAGGAGGACTCCAACTTGAAGGTTGGACTATTTGTACTTTCGCATCCTGTTCTTTCGGAGGAGACTCTCTCTCTTCCTTCAAAGGTGGTGTTTCGAAGTTAGTACGCGGACTCGGTCCCGTTACTGATAGATGGCGAGGTCGAGGCGGCTGCGGAGAAGCGCTTCTGCCCAGTTGAGGAAGACTAGGAGATGCGCGACCGCCTGGAAACGTCGCATTGCGTTTATGCCGACGGGGAAACACCGCCAGCAATTCTGCCCACCATCGGGCATCTTCGCGACTTGCCGCTTTAACGAAAGTCACACGGTCGGGACTAGTAAGGGCAAGAGAGTGAGGATGACCCGTAACCTGTTCAGCGCCAGTCACTTCTAGTACTTTACACATGTCAACAGAGCCTTGGGGGACGGTATCAGGCTGAAACAATAAAAAAAATTATAAGTATTTATCCTTGTTGTCCTTAAACAATATAATGTAAATCTTATTCTAATAAAATGATTGAAAGTTCCATATTGGACGAAGACTACAGATAAGTAATTGTTACGAGCGATAATAGTTTAAAAATTAAGCAAACATATCTCCCTACCTTTTATGTTAAAAAAAGTAATAAAAATTATACAAATGTAATATAAATAGATAGTAATTAACTGCAATTTTACAATTTTTTTTATTTAATAATTCACGGAATAGTACACTTAAAAGTACAACAGATACAAAAACTGATTATGAGTTCTCAATAAGTATTAAGAGTATTCTCTTTTAAACTGCATCTTGCGTTAACATACGCTGTCCAAAGGGGTTAACCAGATGTATCAATTGGGCTATTGGGCTCTGACCACACTGGTTCAAAACCTGTCCATATCGGTTTTATATAATTATATTAAATACGTTAAATATTAAAATACGTTTAGTTTTTTTTTTAATTATATTATATTATAACATTATAAATTTACTTAAATAATACATACCTCATTATACTTAAAAAATATACTATTATGGAATATTTTATGATTTGGGATAAGAAATATTTTACTTCCAGTGATGAAAATGATTAGGAATTCTTGTCCCCCTTTCAAACTTAAGAGAAGACAAAATGTTTCCTTGAAGTTAATTTAATTCAAAAGCAAAGTACTTATTTAGCATGGACTTTTATATGTTGACGTAAAAATGTACTAAATCGAATTGGAAGGATATTTCAGGTATTCTTGAATTCAAGTGTGGAGGGCGGCATGTTTATTTCTGCCTTTCACATAAACCATATATTTTTCTTGTCATATGTGCACTAAGAGTAAGTGTACACCTACATTGGAACCGTATTTCTCCCGATCCGATGTCTAGCGACGTCGGCCGACGTCGGATTAAAAACAAACTCAAGGTATTAAATCAGAGTGCCTATACTGCTTCGTCATGGAAGCAGTGTAGGCATTATCATTTAATACCTTGAGTTTGTTTTCAATCCGTACACTTAGTGTACATTGGAACCTACATTGGAACCGTATTTCTCCCGATCCGATATCGGGCGACGTCGGCCGACGTCGGATTGAAAACAAACTCATGGTATTACATCATAGTGCCTATACTGCTTCCATGACGAAGCAGTATAGGCACTCTGATTTAATACCTTGAGTTTGTTTTTAATCCGACGTCGGCCGACGTCGCCAGATATCGGATCGGGAGAAATACGGTTCCAATGTAGGTGTACACTAAGTAATCTTGTCAATGTAACATGCTGTCCGCAGTAGTATTCGTTGTTACTAGAACCTGAAATTTTATTTTTTCGTAGGTCTGTGTGGTTAGTTACAATTCATTACAGTATAAGTACGACATTATTCACGAATTATGTTTTATATTACGTCTCTTTCCTACTCGCAGAAACTAAATCGATGAACTTAAGCCACCTGTCCATACATAACAGCATACATCAAATAAAGACAGCCATAGGACTAGGTTCGGTGATTGATTCACCTACTGGCAATTTTGTAAGTTTTGTTTTAACAACATTTTTAGTATGTTTTATTATTTTCGTGTCATTTAAATATTCAATCCTTTTTCGTACTTTGAATATACACATTTTTTAACAAACAGTAGTTGTTATAATGACCAACCGGTACCTTCGTGGTCGATTTATTAGGGTAAAAATTTATTTATTAGCTACTGAGGAATAATATAATATGTATTCAATTGGCATTTAGTAATTTTAATATGGCTAAAATCACGTCAACGGAGTGGTATGGAATATTTTTTAAGTGTTTTTAATTTTAGAGTATGCCTGGGAAACCATTGATTCTTAAGCACAACAACTTGTTAAATGTGTTGGAATATTTCGAATTATAAAAAATGAATGGAAGGCCCTTGGAGCCATTTTCATCTGTTTAACAGGCAACGTATTGAAAGGTATGATCGTTTATCAAAATACGTATGATTGAACAACTCTTTGTTTAAGAGAGTAGCTGCTGCTTAAAAAATATTACGACAGGTAGTGTGTACAATTATAAAAAGGAAAGAAAATAATCATATTCTTTCAAAGTCAGGCAAAAATAGACTTTGGTCGAAAAACAAGACAACCGATCTATATGAGGAATCAGAAATGGCAGCACGGAATACAATATCCGACGTGTACCAACCAAGTAAGTGCCAATTTTTTAAATCTGAATTTGATAATAAACCGGACAGGATTTTTTGATCAATACTTTATACAAATGTATGTTGTAAAAACACAACCCTGTGTACTTCACGTTTGATAGGTAGTTTTTTCTTACGACTATCTCCAATTTGGTTAGAGGATACTTGATTGTAATATAAGTATTTTAGCAGTCGTATATCGTACTGGTCAAGTCCTGCTATCCGCAGACAATCAAAAAATCTATCGCGTTGTACTAGGTACAATGCCTTCTCGTATAATTAAGTTAAAAAAAGTATCTTAAGAATTGTCAAAAATTGTCATTCTTTGTATTGTTGTTCGTAATGACTAATTTGTCCATCTGCGTTTTTAAGTACGTGCGCATTTTTCAGTTTCCTAATTCCGGACGTATATTTAAGTTTTTTGTGGAGGTTGAAACTGTCGTGTTTTTTTTGAGGACTTCTATTTCTATACATAAATTCTCCAGCCAAGTTTCTTTGACTTGCTTAATTTTCCTTTTTATGAGTATGTTGATTTCGCGGTATTTGTAAATATTTCTATTTTTGTGTTTCATCAAACTTCGCTTAGGTCTAGAATTTCCTGTGTCATCCACTCATTTTTTGCCAATATTGTAGGTGTTTTCAAAGACTCTCTTACTTCCTTTAAAATTAAGTTTTGTATGTAGTACCAACATTTGTTGAGGGTTCTGTTTTCGTTTGAAATATTGGTTTGGAATCTATTTATCTACTGTGATATGTGTCCACCTGTTTCTAAGGGAGTTGAAATATATCTTAACTAGGCTATCTTTACTAGGTTAAATTGGTTTCAATAATTTCTTTAATTTAATTTGTATTTTGGAACAGAGTAAGTTATTATTTGAGTTTATATCAGCGACGGGGTAAGTTTTTACATTTTTAATATTGTTTCGAAATCGATGGTTTATTAAGATATAATCTATTTGATTCCATACTATTCTACCTTGGTGTCCATCTTGATGGGACTTCCACATCTACAGACTCCTTTCTGGAGTCTCCCATAACTATTGTTGTGTCGTGTTCATTTGTTGTTTCTAGCACTTCTTCTATATTATGGTAGAATTCTTCAATGTTCTGCTTACCTGCGTCAGCAGTAGGAGCAGAAATTTGAATTATATTTATATTTACAGGTTTGGCATTCAGCTGTATTAACATTACTCTGTCTGATATTGGGATGAACTTAGTAACATACTTAATAATATATTGTATCATAATTATTGATACTCCTTTTCGATGCATTGTTTTTTCAGATAAATAAACACCGTATCCTTTGGCTATGAAATTTCCTGTATTTGGCCATCTTCTTTCGCTCACCCTCATGATAGTAATATATAGTTTGTCCATTTCAGAGAGTAAATTTCTCAGCGTAACGGTTTCATATAAAGTTGTTAAATTCCATAGCTATTCTATACGGATTCTTCATTTTCATCTTATTTCTGGTGACTTGTTGTTGTCTGACTATACAACCAGAACTGTATAATCTAAAACTGCACATTTAAAGAAAAATACATATGTATAAAAAAACGAGAAAGTTAAAAACAATAAGACATCATACTAAAAGAGCAAGATAAAGATATAAAAAAAGATTAAGGATGCGAAAATGAACAGAGTGTAAATTAGATAATTTCCAAGTAACGAACTGGGGAATGAAAAGACAGAGATAAATGTAAAATTGCTTGAGCGAGTCAAGGCAGTAAAACCTTAAATATCGGTAAATAGTGTACAAAACTCAACAATGAACCAGATTGAACAAAGAATTGGGTTTGTAAAATACCTTATTCGCTCCGAGCGTGACTGACGCGACACATACCGCCTTCATCTCCCAATTTGAGGTTAAACATATGTTAATACCATTATATACATACGAAACTGACAATTATTAATAATTAGTTTTTTAAATATATTTTTTCAGTTTATGTACAAAATGAAAGTAGTATTAAGAACTGGGTTTCTAAAAATGCATCATAATTTATCTTTTCAACCCCAAACGGAAAACAAAGGGAAAAATCTAGTACTGACAAATGACCTTTGATCTGTGAAAGAGCATGTAATTAAAAACAATAATAGTAAAAGTTATGATGATATAAAAGCTAAAGTCATCAGGCAGGATGCAGAAAGCTTGAAGCATTGTGAAATATCATTTAAAGTACATTACTTAAATTTCTCCTATTTCAATTGCATAAAAACGAAATTATGTGATATTTACTTTTTCATATTAACAGCAGGAATCCATCTTTTTCTTTCTTCTTCATTTATATTATATGTAATCTTTGGAAAACTATAAAAACTACACTCACTATTTTTGCTATTATTAGCACAATTAAATACGCAACATGTATTTGCACCTATTATTTATCAAATTTATGCGTAAAAAGATAGGTCAAATTTTGTCATATTTCGCCGCTACGCACGCTGGCATCGTTCCAAGGTACCCCTACCATGGTTACGCACGGAGCGAATAAATAAAAAAATTGTTAATTGCCTAAAAACAAAATTTTAAAATTATAATCAAAATTTTACAATCTCAGATATTCAAACACGCTAGACACGCAAAAGAATCTACGACCATTTTGCGTAATGAAACAAATATCACTGTAAATTCGCTAGTAGAATGTAGTAAGCTTCGGTTACTCTTCTTAAACGAAGAAGTAAAAAGGAAATACTACCTTTGACAGATTATATGTTGCTGCATTTGCATGTATTATTTATGAATTACAAAAAATATATGAAATTTGTTCAAAATATATGAAAGTTGAAAATAC